CGCCAAATAAATTTCTATTTTATCTCTGCATTGAATTTTAACTCGTTATTACTGGGAAAATGTCGAGAAAAAGCAAACGTTACAGAGAAATTCTGCAAATTCTGTTTAATTTAAATGGATATGTGGTACACTTTCTTCAAAGAGAGGCAATAAACATCTGCAAGACAAAATACCTTAGTTTAATTATTATTACTTTAATTATAATAAATTATAATGTTATGAATAACATTTTATTTCATATAAAATATCCAAATTTTTTCCATAGCGAGATACGTTTTAAAAAATATTCAGAAATTATTATTTCAAGGAATTTATTACGAGTAGAAAAAATAATGTGCTGGGTTGGCGTTGGTTTCTATGTAATTTGACAATTAAATAAAGCTGTCTCTTTAGTTGTCAGTTTTGAGTCAATATTTTTTAATTCTCTTTCGTATCGATTGCTGATTGAATTGGAGCCAGAAATGGCTCAAAACGAAATAAGTAAATTATCAACAGATATTCAGGCTGAGGCGAATAACTTATGAAAGGGAATACAAAAATTTTCAAAAATGGAAGCAATTAAAAAAGGTGCGAGAAGAAATAAAATTTTTAGCCTATCTTTCCTGTTTACTATTTTATCTACTATTTTTGATAGATATAAGGCAATTTTAACAGTTGCTATGGAAAAAGCTATTTTATTCTACAGGTATTGAACAGAACAATTTCTTTTTACATGTTTATTGTTACTTCACTTCCTTCTTAAGCCTTCGCTTGCTTGAAATATATTATCGAGCAAGGAATAATATCATCAAGCAAATTAAGACAAACATCATGCGTAAAGGATTATGGAATGATTTACGTAATCTGTAACATCGCAAAATGCAGTGGAAATATGTACGGAAATATCGAAATAGTTTTTAAAAATAATAAGAGCGAAAATACCTAGAATAATAAGCAAGAAAGAGACCCGAACATCCTGTATAAGACGTACATTTATTTAAATTTGACAAAAATATTAATTATAAATATATTTACACAACGTGGTCTTTTATTAATCTCTTTTTTTACTGCTGAGAATCCGAACCACCGTACAAAAAATGACAGAAAAAACAATTGAAATGTGAATTTAAGTGACAGATGACAATTGCCGATTGACATGTTGGCTTTAATATAACGAAAAAAATATTGCAATTTCGCATAAAAAAAACGTTAAATAAAAAAGTCTATTCAAGAATTAGTGAATTATAAAAAAATGCGAAAAATTTGTCGCGAAAAGCATGTATCAGCTTCTCAAGAAAGGCCATCTCACACTTATCCACTCTCAGAATTAGTTAAAAGTTCAATATTATACAACTCGAAAAAAATGCACATCACCTGCCATTTGAAATCAAATCCATAACATCATTTTCTTCATTTCGCAAAGCATTGAACTCTTATTTACTAGACAAGGCTTTCTACGCCGTAAATGAATTATATTTTGATAATCGAATTTGATCTTGAAAACACTGGTCTAATGTTTGCTATTACTATATTTACCAATGACATTGATATTTACTATAAACTAACTAAATATTTTTGAATATTATTTTTATTTTTATTCTTTGACATTGTAAACATTTATAAATGTTTATTTTAAACAATAAGACTGACAATGTTATTTGTATAATGTTTTGTATTCTCTTTAGTTTGTTTGTTTGTTCACTTTGTTTGTTTAACTTACCTTTGTCTACAAATTGTAAATTTTTTAGACAATAAAGGCATTTATTTATTTGGAACTGCACACAGTTGAAAAATAGTCAATTTATTGTTAAATTTTATTCAGTTTTTCTCCATGTATTCCGTATTCTATACTATCGTAAATATTTGACAATACGTAGAAATTTATGTAATGATAGTATGTATATACAGGGTATTTTTTGTGCAAGTATTTTGGACCAAAGAAACAAGTTTTCTATTTACAGTTTTTAAAAGAAATCTATACCAATATATAAAATCCTTAAGTGACTGACATACTGATTAATCACGATCCTGCTCAAACCACTCAACGTAAGAAGCTCAATTTTGGCATACAGGTTGATTCTAGGGTGTAGAAGTTCGATAAGAAGGGATTTTTCGAAATTCCAGTTCCAAGAGGGTGAAACCATTCTCAAATATTACAATATTTTTTATTTAAAAAACGGCCAAGTTTCCGACAAAACGTTTAAATACGTATATTTTATTTTGTTTTTTTACATATTTTAAGATTTTTAAAAAATTTATACAGGGCGTTTCGAAAAATCTGGTCATTGATGAATCACGATCCTACTTAAAGCACTTGACGTAAAAAGCTGATTTTTTGAAAACGGATTGACTTTAGGGTGTAGAGGTTCGATAAGAAAGGATTTTTCGAAACACGAATTCTAAGGGGGTGAAATTATCCCTCAAATATTAAAATATTTTTTATTTAAAACCCGGTGAGTTTTTCGGAAAAACTCTTAACCCGTATATTTTATTTTGTTGTTTTACATGTTTTAAGATTTTTTATAAATTTATACAGGATGTTTCATAAAATATGACCATTGAGTAATCACGATTCTGCTTAAACTGCTTGACGTTTAAAGCTGATTTTTGGCAAACGGATTGACTGTGGGGTGTAGAGGTTCGATAAGGAGGGGTTTCTTGAATCTCAAATTCCAAGAGAGTGAAAACACTCCTCAAATATTACAATATTTGTTATTTAAAAAACGGTTAGTCTTTCTGGAAAACGCTTGGACAAGCTTATTTTATTGGGTTTTTGTACATATTTTGAAATTTTTTAAAAAAACATACAGGGTGCTCCAAAAAGTTGGGTAATTTCTTAACCACGATTCTGCTTAAACTGCTTGACGTAAAAAGCTTATTTTTGGCAAACGGTTTTTTCGAAAGTCAAATTCCGGCGAGATGAAACTACCCCTCAAATATTACCTTAATTATATAAGTTATATAATAATATCGCCATATTGTTTTTTCTCATGCTGACATTAATGTGAGAAAATTTTATCCAGTTTGTATGTTAATGGAAATTCTTGCTTTGCTTTATCATCACCATTACAAATGATTAATTCGACGCGAACGAAGTCGCGGGTACACGCTAGTTAAATATAACTGAGTGATTTAACTTGAAATTTTTTAAAAAATAATGCTTACATTTTTTCAAAGAGCCTTTTATGGGCTGGGGACACCCTGTAGAAAGCATCAGATCAAAGCATAATTAAACATATTGAATAAAAATATATACTTTAATGTGTATTGTTTAATTATTTAATAATATTGAAACGCTGTACAGGGTGGCTCGAACTCGACGCTCATCATTGGGATTTCGGAAACCGTAAGAGATACAGGATCGGTTAAATGGAGGCAAAGTTACGCAATTTGATGCTCAATAAAATGCCGTATTGCATTCTGAAAAATTCCGAATACTTCCGAATATATTCGAAAAAGAAAACGGAATTTTCAATTTTGTTTTCTATTGTTTCCTGGCTTTATTTGTTAAGATAACTTAAAATGAAAAACACATTTTCATGGCCACTTTTTCTGCTCTATAACTCAGTGTGATTAAATATTGACTCTGACGTTTTGGCTTCTGGCGACCATCATCAACTTAATTTCTTTAAATACGGACCTGATTTTTTTTTAAATTAAATCCTTTCATCACTTTTAAAATACTATATAGAGTGTCCCAGAAATAAGTGCAAATATTTTAAACTGGTAGTATAATTCATCCCCAGAAACATGCCTATGAATTTTTTTTGGCGAAAAAAAATTTTGAAAATTGGAAATTTTTTGAAAAAATTTTTGGATTTTTTCTGAGGTTTTTAGTTAAAAAACATAATTTCTTGATAATATGGCAACACAGGTATTAGATTAAATTTACAAGAAAGAAAATCCAAAAAAGATCCAGTGGTTCTCAAAATTTTAGCAAAAAATCATTTTTTTTGGAAATTATCAAAGTAAAATAACTCCGTTATTTTGGACTTATTTGAAAAACAATAAAGAGAAAATATGTTTCTTTTATCGAGATCTACTACCTCTTAAAATATTTTTACTTATTTCTGGGACACCCTGTATATAGTCACTTTGATATTTGCCGACGTTTCGTACAGAAAATTCCATCACCAGAATATTTTATGCAAAAAAAATAAAAAATAAAAATGCAATACGGCATTTTATTGAGCATCAATTTGCGCAACTTTGCCTTCATTTAACCGATCCTGTATCTCTTACATAAGATACACCCTACACATAATACCAATTCAAACGTTATTCTTTGTTGGTTAATGATATTTTGCTTTAAATGTCAGAGATGGAGCTATTTCTTAGATTGAAAAAAATTTAATGTAGAATAAGAAGATATCTTTGGAACTACAGTATATATACAGGGTCAATCTTAAATAAGTGCAAATATTTTCAGGGCTGGTAGATCTCGATAAAAGAAACATATTTTTTTCCTTGTCGTTTTTCAAATCCAGTTCAAAACCATTTTTAAGTCCAATATAACCAAGTTATTCTACTTTGAAAATTAAAAACAAAAGATTTTTCCTTAACTTTTGAGGACCACTGAATCTTTTCTGGGTTGTCTTTCTTGTACATTTAGTCTACTATTTATGTTGCCAGATTATCAAGAAATTATGTGTTTTAACTAAAAACGAAACAAAATTTCCAACTTTATTTTTTAAAAACTCAAAATTTTGCGAAAAAAATAAAAATATTTGCACTTATTTAAGACTCACCCTGTATAATTGACACTGTCACTTTAAGAATTTAGATATAAAAAAGACTGAATTTGAAATGTTTTTTTTTTTCTACTATGTATTGCCAATTATGATATTGTTTATTTTCTTTTTAATTTTTATTATTTATTCAGATATCAAAATTAACTTTTTAAAATAAAAATTATTTATTTTTTATGAGATATTATGTGTCACCAAATAAGACAAAATAAAAAAAATAGAAAACCCAGTAACCCAAAAAAAAAATATTTTATATTCCACCTAATCACTTACCAGAAGCTTCATTTCTTTGTGTACGCTAAAATGCGTGAACGTACCAAAGACGTACACTGTCCGGTACTGCTACCAGAACCACGCTGGTACCCACGTTTTATATGGTACTTTCCAACCCCCCTGATGGGCTATAGCTAGACAACGATATTCGCTCACGAAGAAGCAGAAGAAGTAACGTAGAAGAAGAGCCCTAGGTTTGCACCTCTCTAAATGGGGAAGAGACGGTACGGTTCTGAAAAACTAGTACCACGGTACTAATTTGTTATTTATTTTTTATGGTTATTAGATCACGACCTGGTTCTTCCGGATAAGATGGTTACGAAATTTCGTTTAAAGCATGAGGAATAGTACTGGTAGTACGGTCACAGTCAGATGTTTAGTGCATTTAACGAATATAAAGTGCATTATAGTTTTTAGCTAATGGAATGAAGTACTTCCGGATAATATATGTTAAGAAATTATGTTTAAAACAAGATAAATAGTACTGGTTGGTACCAAAATATTTGATGTTAATTTTTCAATTTAATAAAAAGTACCGTATAATCGATACAATATTTTTTTGCTCAGTAGAGATTAACGCAGCAGTGTTTATGTCACTATAAATGTCCGAAATGCGGTTAAACCTAGGATAAGCGCGCTAAACCTAGGATTTACCAAAACCAAGTGGTAAAAGCTCGAAAACTTCTTTATTTTGCTTCCATTTCGGACTTTTACCGGACCCAAACAGTAAATCTTAGGATTTACCGCACCGCATTGGTAAAAGTACGAATTATTTTTCTTATAGCAACAATATCGACAAATTAAGAATGTCGATATACAAAGACATCTCTGTTTTTGTTTACTTAGGCATTGAAATTTTAACGATTATCGTTTGACGATATCGATTTTTGTAACGTATCAGTCTTATACCGTATGATCGAAAAAAACGGCGTCCAGTTGGCTGGGAAATGACGATCGATGACATTTTTCCATATAAATTTACATCTAAAATGACAGCGATCTTCATTTCATAGCCATCGCTGACGCCGTTTTTATTCGATCATACGGTATTTGTTACTATAAATGTCCGAAATGCAGTAAAACCTAGGATAAGCGCGCTAAACCTAGGATTTACCAAAAGCATTAACTAATTGGGTTAGCCTGGTTATATATTTGGAGGGTGTTAATGCATTGGTTAGCCTGGTTATTTGGAGGATGTTAATGCATTGATTAGCCTGGTTATTTGTGGGGTGTTAATGCATTGGTTAGGTGGTTATTTGGCAGGTGTTAATGCATTGGTTAGGTGGTTATTTGGAGGGTGTTAATGCATTGGTTAGCGTGGTTATTTGGAGGGTGTTAATGCATTGGTTAGCCTGGTTATTTGGAGGGTGTTAATGCACTGGTTAGGCTGGTTAATTGGAGGGTGTTAATGTATTGGTTAAGCTGGTTATTTGGGGGGTGTTAATGCATTGATTAGCCTGGTTATTTGTGGGGTGTTAATGCATTGGTTGGGTGGTTATTTGGGAGGTGTTAATGCATTGGTTAGGTGGTTATTTCGAGGGTGTTAATGCATTGGTTAGCCTGGTTATTTGGAGGGTGTTAATGAATTGGTTAGCCTGGTTATTTGGAGGGTGTTAATGCATTGGTTAGCCTGGTTATTTGGGAGGTGTTAATGCATTGGTTAGGTGGTTATTTGGAGGGTGTTAATGCATTGGTTAGGCTGGTTATTTGGAGGGTGTTAATGTATTGGTCAATGCGGTGTGGTAAATCCTGAGATTTACTGTTTGGGTCCGGTAAAAGTCCGAAATGGAAGCAAAATAAATAGTTTTCGGGCTTTTACCACATGTTTTTGGTAAATCCTAGGTTTAGCGCGCTTATCCTAGGTTTTGCCGCATTTCGGACATCTACAGTAACATTTACAAAAAAGTAACTATTTTATTTTGTAGATTTTCTTGGCAGTGGCGAAATACCTATATACATTTTTTTTGGAGAGATAAATCCGCCACATAGGTATAGACATTTTTTAAAAACAATCCTATAAATAAAAAGGATAATTTTGATAAAACATGTAATGCATATTGGCTTTTTATTTAATTAAATAATTATTAATTCATAAAAAAACAGAATATAATGGATTACACAATATATTCAAATTATAAAATACGAAAGCTCAAAACATTTTAACCATAACAAAAGTACAAATATAAAATATCCTGTAAGATTTTAATCACCTAGTCAGTATCTTTGTGAAGACTTGACTGTATGAGGGGTGTAAATAATGTAATATCAATCCTATATTTACAGCAATATTTCTTCTGTTTTCTAAAGCTTAACTCATTTTAACTTCAAGCCTGTGCTATTTGAAAGTTACATATAAACTACATCCTCTTTGATTGTCGATTGACTACATACATGTTACATCTAATGTAGTTTATGTAGTTTTTAACAGCAACATTTAATTTTCCGAACTCTGGTTTACAGATTTGATAAATACATGGACCTTCAAAAACGATTTAAATTTATAAATATTTTTAACTGAAAAATTTTACATTGTATAATAATTATTTAAAATTTTTATAACATCTAATTAATAAAGAATCACATTATAACAAATATATGGCGATATCAGATAATTAATTTACATTTTTATGGAATTTTGTATGAATATTGGTCATTTAAGTAATTTCTTTCAGATTTCAACGTAAAATAAAAGACGAAAAACTGAAATAAGGCATTAGAAGAGTATTTCGAAGATCTTGACCCGAATATTTCCCAATTTTTGGTTATTTTTAACTCATTAGGATCGTTATAATCCATAATATGGAAATTTTGAGCCGGATTTCATGATTGCACGAATTATTTTGTGTGATATCGCAATTCATCTAAATATTTATTAAAAATTATTATTAATTACTTTTTACTAAAGAAGGAATTTTTACAAAAAGCCTATCTATTTTCAGTCAGTTTGCAAAAAGCCTAATCTGAATTAGGCATATTAAACAATCATGATATTTTTTGTACACTTCTGCAAAAAGACTGCCTGTTTATAGTCATTTTACAAAATGCCAAATCGAGAATCGAGGCCAGGCAGATTAAAAAATGATCAAAGTTTAGTCAGCTAAGGGCATAAGCGTATTGAATAATTTATGCTTTAATAAAATACCCCATATTTTCCTATACAAAAACCATAATTATTTATGTCAAAATTTTATTATGTTTAGACGAAAACAACTTGAACCCTATTTCATAAATTTTTATTATATATAACATAATTTTAAATACAAAATATATTAAAACCTTAATATTAATATCTCATTTAATTATTATACTCTGTAATTCGATTCTGTGTACAGGGCTGCTTCTTTGTGGAACTTTGCTTTCTTTTAGAATAAAATGAATTTAGATCTTTGTAATAATCATCCTCAACCATACTCTATTTAACAAAATTATCAATTTTTGTGCCATTTTTTCCAAATTTTGAAAGAGAAGTTCAAGAAATGTTGTCGGATAAATTTAGGTTAGTTATACCAATCCCGCGTAAAATGTTTAATCTGTGTGCAATCTGACTAGTCTTCATTAGGCATTTTGCAAAACGACTGAAAACAGATAGGCCCTTTGAAAAATATTCTTTTTTTGTTAAAAATGCCGGCGTTTTATAATATGCCTAGTCTTTTTGCAAAATGCCGAGTTATTCTATACGCTTGCGACATTATATAAACAAGGCTATTATTAATATAATTAAAAATAAAAATCTACTTCATACAATAAAATAATCAATAATAATCGAATTTTCACAATACAATAAGCATCTTTCATACTAGCCTCTTCTACTATAACTCTATAGATTTCTATAAAATATCTTTGGAATCAATTCACTAGATTTTACCGTTGAAAAAAATGATACAATTAGTTTTTGATTTCATTTATTTTCACTTTCCTCGTGGTCCCATTCATTCTGCTTTTATTTCTTTATGCAAAATAGCTATTGGAAGTATAAATATACACATTAAATTTAAATAATAATAAGTAATAAACAATTGCTTGCAAAACAAGGGGAAACCAAACTGATAGTGGACTAATTCAGTATAATTATATTGTCTTATTATTAGGCGAATTAAAATATATGTTGGGAATTACTATGTACCTATACCATGGTTCAATTACCCGCATACTTTTTTGTGAGAAATTATCAACTGACAAAAATAAATCGACGTTTTCAAGTTTACACTATGCTAAAAGCAAAATTGCCCGATATTATCAATAAATTTAATATATTTTTAGTTTAGTCAATTTCATCATCTTCATTTGCAGCTTATTCAACCATTTCCAATTATATTGTAGCCTCCCACATATTTAGATGCTCTCTTTGTAGTTGGGCTCATTGTTGTCTATTGTTGGTTACCCGGTCCAAGTTATCCCTACTAATTTCCTAATATCTTGACCCACCCTGTATATGACCCACCCTGTACAGGGTGGGTCAAATTCGACGCTTTTAAATGGAAACACCCTTTTTTTATAGGAGATAGACGAAAACTAATATCGGTGTCTGGAGCTCAATTTTCATCAAAAACATGGTGATGAAAACCGCACATCAATATCTGTTACCGTTTCGGAGTTACGGGGTGTTTTTCAAAAATGTGCATTTTTAACAAATCGCTGTAACTTTTTTGCCATGGAAAATTTTGTATTTCTATGAAAACATTTTCAAATCACCTTTTTACGTAGAATTTAATGGTTTAAGTATATTTTTTTTAAATTAATAATTTAAGAGTTATCAACAGAAAAATTGATTTTTTATTTGGGACACCCTGTATATTTTAAATTAACTGAAAAGAATTTAGAATTACCTTTCCAAAAATATAACACACTTGATATTTTGTTATAATCCCCTTCGAAATACAGAATTTTTAAAAGTTCGCCACTTTTAACTAGTAGGCTTTGGAACCCTTATTGATGATATGCCCTTAATGGAACTCGAGAACATATTTTTCCAGCAAAACGACGCACCGCCTCAGAACACTGAAGTTATCAGCAAATTTTTGCAGCCAATTTCAAGTATAATTGAATAGCTAACCAAGATCCCAGCCGTTGGCCGTCGAGGCCGCCT